GACAGGTGTGGCAAACAAAATAAAGTGGTGTTGCATACAGAAACAAGCGGCCTCCTTCTTGTCTTCAACGGAACACAACATGGTGTCAGGAGTAAAGTGAGCAAAGTAAGTCACTACAAAACAAAGAACATGGATGCTCTCAAGCCACCAGAGAATTTAAAGCTGATCGGCAATGTTGACAGCAATTGGCGGAACTTCAAGCAGCAGTTTCAACTGTATGTGGCGGCCATGGGACTTGATAAAAAGTCAGAAAGCAGAAAGGTAGCACTACTGCTAACAATAGCAGGTCCACAAGCCATTGAAGTGTACAACACATTTGTTTTTTGATAGTGAAGAGGACAAAGACAAGTTGGATAAAGTGCTTGAGCATTTTGATGCACACTGCTCGCCAAAGAAAAATGAAACATACGAGAGACGTGTTCTGGTCTCGTGTGCAGCAACAACATGAACTGTTTGATGTTTTTTTTTGACTGATCTGAAGCTGAAAGCTCAGACATGTAACTTTGGCACACTGAAAGACTCCATGATTCGTGACCAGATAGTGTTTGGTGTGGAAGACAAGCAGATCCGAGAAAGGCTGTTAAGAGAAACTGAGCTTACTTTGGAAGGAGCTATAAAGATTTGCCAAGCCAGCGAGCTCTCCCGGATCCACCTGAGGACTTTCAGCAAAGTAGATGATGGCCCAGCAAGCTTGAGTGAAACTGTAGCAGTTGGTGCAGTTTCTAATAAAGGAAAACATCACAAACATAATCAACCTGTGTAGCGCATGGATGATGATATATTTTCCTGCAAGCGATGTGGCTCTCGACATAAGCTGAAACATTGCCCTACATATGGTAAGCAATGTTCTCTGTGTGGAGGAAAAAAAACATTTTGCCAAATAGTGCTTTTCAAAAAGAAAAGGAATGAAAGGGAAGTCTGTTAACTTGGTTCAAGATACTGACCTGTGTGATACATTTTTTTTGTGTGTGGTAAACTGTGAAAATGAACCACGTGAAAAGATTAATGTTATCAGAGAAGATAAATGGACAGCAC